TTTAACCGTGCGCTGACCGGCTGGTTTAACCGTGCGCTGACCGGCTGCCAGCGATGCATTCTCGCCCAACTGGACTCAGCTGCTGTGTCAGAAGACGCGCACAGCCAACGACCCAATTTGGATCATCAGCCGCACGCGTCTGCCAACAGTTAATAACTATAATATTATAGTTATTATAATAATATAGTTATTATAATGTATGGTATAAAGTTTATTCATTTAAAAAAATACAAAACAGTTTCATAACTATGTAAAAAATATACAAGAGATTTAAAATGAACGGCAGCAGAAGAAGAAAAAATCTTATTATATCTGCACCTTTTTTCACACAATTAGTTCAATCACAATAATTTTCAAGTAACAAATAATACAATAGTTATTATAATAATCTGCTGACTGTTGTTAATCAACAAGAAATCTTATCTTTTCTTTGAAATACATTTTGAAAACCACATTGTGAAACAGATTTTCTTACAAAAGCAGTAAAAACTGAATAATTTATTTGTTTTTTGGGTCCGGCCTCTAATTAGAGTTAATTGGTCAGAAACAAATGATATGGGTTCAGGCCGGGTCAGAGTTTTAGGCCCGAATGCAACTCTAGTTGAAATATCAGAACCAACTAGAGTACCAAATGAAGTGAACATGAAATGTCTGATTTTTCACAAATATTACAAGAGAAGCAACAAAACAAGATCAACTGTCTCCTCCTGCAATGCTGTTGTTGCTGGTTTCACTCAGCCCTCTGTGAATAGTAAACAGCCACCGGGGCACTAACGATCAGTCGTATGGCTGATGGCTTTGATGGAAGCTGTACATTTATTCTGTTGTCAGAATAGCAACCAGTCAGTCTGAACCAGATGTTCAGCCCAAAGCTGATCTCGTGCAGGGGTTGGGGATCAGCTTTGGGCTGAACATCTTGTTCAGACTGACTGGTTGCTATTCTGACAACAGAATAAATGTACAACTACAAACTGGTTGATCCGCTGCGAGAAGGTGCTGTTTATAAGACTGAGTTTATTGCAGCTCCTCAGACTGAAGAAGTCTTCTGGATTAAAGACGAAATGTTTCAAGTTGTTTTTGTTTTTTTTTACTCATCCAGAGGACCAGACTTAACTTTTTATAGATTTTCTACCTGGATTATCGAGCAGCATCAGGATGAAACAAGACTGTGCTGTCTTTGTGTTCCTCTGATGTTCGGGGTCATGAGAACTGACCAAACAAATTTGTTGCATATTTTGACTGCGTGGTTCTGTCACGACCAGGTTCACAGTCTGTCCGGACTCGTTTGTTTTTATTGAGCTTTTCTGAGAAGAGATTGATCAACTCATCTTCTTGTTCACTGGCTCCGACTGTAATCTGTTCTTTGATTTGCATCACATTACACCTGTCGGCGTTTTAAATAAACACTTAAATTAAAACCAGGACATCCTGATGTTACAGCTCAACAAACTCTTGACTCCCAGCAGTCTTTGCCCATTCCAGTCACTGGAAGCAGCCTAATGAAATGGCACAGTGCTGGGATGTGTAGGCGGTAAATCACTCCTAGAAGCTGGAAGGCACATTATAATTCTTCCGAGGCATCGCACCTAAGCACACTTTCTGTTATTAATCACTTGGAAGTAGAAGTTCACGTTAATTTAATCTCTGCTGAAGGGAAAAAATCATTTGTGGAGGAGTGAGGCTGTGAAAACAGGATGACGAGTCTTTCATATTCTGAAAGATGGGTAAAAAAGTGACAGTAGGTGGGAACAGAACACCTCCCACCTGATTTGAGCATTAATCAACCCTTCACACTAGTCAGAGGATCTTTGTTTGTTCAAAGAAGCCAAAAAATGTGATTTATTCAAACCGAAGAAAGAAGAAATGTGATGTTTGGTTTACCTGCAAAACATTAACAACACCTGGATTACTGAGCATGCATCAGGATATTAACAGGATATCAACGTTCCTGTAACATTCATTGCTGGACTAACAGTTTACACATGTGCATCAATGTTTGAAGCTTTGTGGAGGTTTTATCTTCTTGTTGATAAAATATCAGAGACCAACGTATTTTGTAACAGAAGAAATGTTGGGAGTCAGTTCTGTACCGGAGGAAACGTCTCATCACAACGAGCATCTTCACCAAATGTTCTTTTTTGTCTCGTGTTGTGGAGCAGAGAGGAGGAAGTGGAAATGCCATCCATCCATCCATTATCTTTACCCACTTCTTTCTTTTCTGGTCACGGAGGTCACTGGTGGTCATGTCCAGCTGTCACTGTGCAAGAGGTGGGGGACACCTGCACATGTCTCACTTCACCACTTGCTCTTGCTGAGATCGGATGCTTTTCCCCTCCCTCTCCACTTTGCTTTGCTGCTCTGTCTGTCTGTGAAACTGCTTGTGAGCCTCTCTTGCATCTTCTGAACCATAATTATGGACTTGTTCTGACCAGTTGGTTCCTCAACTCAATTTACAACATTTCTTCGAGAGAAGACAGGCTTTAGGCGAGCCGATTTACCCTGTTGGCACGCAGCTGGATATCTCATCGACTGGAAGACTTGATGATGTGTCTCTGCTGCCATCTGTGGATTTTAAGGACGCATATTTAATTGGATTTACAATAACTGGTTCCTGCTTTTTGGATTCGGCTGGTTGCTGGTTTTATCTACAATCAAGGAAGTCGTCGGCAGCAAATCTGGACCCGATCACGCTGCTTGCCTTTATGATGGCTTGGTTCGTGCCTTGAGTACCCAGACTCAAATGCATTGGGCTGAATGGATCAGATCTTGGGGATTTTACCCAGTCATGTTCCATCGGTGTGGTCATGTTATTTTGGACATTTCGGAACAGAGTGGACCAAACACAAACTCAAGGTAGATGTCATTAAGTTCTGCCTGTCCCCAAAACAACTGTGTGTTTATCTAAATTTGGTTCCCTTGGCTGGCCTTGAAGACCATCTTATCTGAATTCACCTGGAGAACATGTGATCTGTCAGACTGAAGAAGTCCTTTGGATGAAACGTCTCAGCAACAGAAACCGTCCAGATGACCCGACTGAACGTTGTTATTTTAAACCAGGGGTCTGCAACATGCGGCTCTGGAGCCACATGTGGCTCTTTGGTCTCTCCATAGTGGCTCTTTCAACCTTTGACCAAAACTAACACAAAACTGAATTTTATGTTAAAAAATACTAGTTTTAGCAGTTTTCCTGTCATTTCCTTTGCATATATGTGGATACTAATACACAGAGTAAATTATACTCTAACTTTATGTTTTATTCCTTCAAAGTAAGATAATACTCAATACAACAATTTCCTGCGGGATCAACTAAGTTTTGTCTTTTCAGTTACGCCACAATTTAAAAAAATTGCATGAGCCTGCACAATTCGTTGTTTTAGTTTTTTAAAAATTAGCAAAATTTATTTATTTTTTTACAAGAATCCAGTCTTCTGTGATAGACTTGTGACTTGGACATGGGGCACCAGTGACCCCCTGCAACTCAAAAAGGAAGAATCGTGTAAAGACGATGGATGGATGGATGGGTGGATGGATGGATGGATGGGTGGACTCCAGTCTTTTCTTTTGTCTTAAAATGTAAAAATATCAATAAATGTTAAATCATCTGATGTTTTTAGTTTTATAATTTCACACCTAGTGGCCAGAAAAGCCCCCTCTAACAAACATAACGTGGCCCATGGGCCACCAGTTGATGGTGATAAGTGTAGCAGGTTTTGTGGCTCTGGACACGTTTAATTTAATTTAGTGAACAAAAGAAACGGCTCTTTTGATCATAAAGGTTCAGACCCCTGTTCTAAACTCTTAAACCTACGTCATTTTAACAACATGCGTACTTGTACTGTAGTACTGCAGAACTTTATGTGGGTACTCGGCAGTGAAGATACGACTTGAAGGACGAGTTCATCTTCAGGATTATTTGGAACGTTCCTGTGAGCTCCATCCATCCATCCATCCATCCATCCATCCATCCATCGTTACGTCTGACTTTGTGTTGCAAAACTATTTTTACCACCTCGGTTTCTCCGCTGGTATTTGCTCCTTTGCTGTTCTTTGAATTTCATCAAAAAGCAGCGGTCCGAAACACTGTTGGCTTCTGGGTCGTGTAGTTCTTTTGACTTGTTACAGTGTAGGCTCGTTGAAAGAAAACTACAAAATGGCTGCTCCTGTCCGAAGTATTTTCTTTCACTTTTTATCCCGTACCATCCAGTCACGTGAGCTAGTTGACGGTCGTGTGTCGTGCACAACCTTGAAAACCTGCAAAAGAGCGAGTCTGCAAATGTTGAACCACCAAGTATCGAAGGACCTGTACGAGCAGGACCAGATTTATTAGAGCGGACATTTTTGACCTGGAACACAAAGTTGTGAACACAACAGTAGAAAATGAGTTGTTTGACACATTTAGTCAGAATCAGCCACTCACAGCGCCTGTTGTTTCTGTTTCCTCTCAGGTTCTGCTCTCTGGACTCATCGGGGTGGTGTCATGGAAGAGGCCTCTGTCCCTCGTGGTGAGTTTCCTCTGAACACTCGCCTGAGTCTGTCGAGGTGGGGGGGGGGGGGGGGTGCAATGCTCCTTGTTGATGTGCACAAAGCATCACGTTGTGTCAGATTCTGATTAACACAAAGTATCATAAGTAGCAGGATGGTAAAATAACTGAACAAAAAGATAACTCGATTGGAAAATACTGACTTTGACCAGTTATGATGTTTAAATGGAGTTTTTTCTTGTTGTTATAACAAAACATTCAATTCTACATGATTCTTGTTGGACACATTAAATGTTTAGCTGCTGTTGATTGTCTCTGAATGCACTTTCAGGTACTTTCAAACCTTCAGGTTGTCAGTCCTGCATGACGGAGGCTGTGCTTCAAGTTTTCTCAGTCACTCGAGGAAACGCGGGAGAAGTTTATAGTTTGTGTATAAGTTCCTTCAAAGATGAGAAGTCTAAGTACTTCAAACACAAAAGTCGTCACTGAAAGGATCTTTCATGTGTCACTGGGTCCGATCTGAACTCAAACCAAGCTGTGACTTGAGGCGCTTAAAGCTGTAATCTTTAATTGTCTTTTCTCTCGGAGCTGACTCACATTTTTGGAGTTATATCAAACTCTTTGGCCCAAAATCAGAATCTCAACAGGGAACAGTTAAATATTTTATTGACAAATGGGACACCTGTTAAAGTTCAAGTAGGTTCATCGTCATTTCATCACATGTGGTACATGAGGTGGAAGGAAATTATGTACTCAGGATCCCAGTTACATCCAACAATAGCAAAACTATAAAGTGTTAAAAATAAACAGTAAATAAGGAGATATAAACTAAACAAATGTCAAACGGTACACTAAAAGATCTAAGATATATATTAAACTCTAACAAGGCAAAACAATACAACGTAACAACAGCAGCCCGAACATGAGTCTGTGGTGAGCAGATGGGTATGAAAGAATACACAGAATGAGATAATCAGCAGCATGAGATCAGCAGCATGGATAATCAGCAGCGCATATCACCAATCAAAGTGGCCTTACAATTATTTATTTATTTATTGTTAGTTTTATTTTTCCCCACAGTGATTATTCTAGTTATAGATTCATGAGTCTAACAGCCTCAGGGTAGAAGCTGTTCCTCAGTCTAGTGGTTCTACACTTAATGCTCCTTAACCTCCTTCTTGAGGGGAGCGGGGCAAAAAGTGTGTGTGCTGGGTGAGTGTGGTCCTTCATGATGCAGGTGGCCCTCTTCCTAGATCTGGAGGTGTGGATGTCTGTGATGGTGGGGAGGCTGACTCCAACATCTTCTGTGCAGCCTTCACCACTCTCTGCAAAGCTTTTCTTTCTGCAGCTGTGCAGCCTTCACCTCTCTCTGCAGAGCTGATTAAAGATGCTAATGCACCTCTGAATGTTGCTTCTTTTTTTTTTTTATACATAAATAGATATATGCTCAGTCAATAGGCTCATACATTTCTTATTATCATATTTTTTTTGTTTATTTGTTAGAAAATGTCAATAGAAGTCAGTGCAATGCATCAAAACACTGATGATAGTATTTTAACAGATAAATTCAATGCTAATTTCTATTTTTGTGTGTTTTTTTTTCTTGCTCAGCATAATAAGCATCAACCCAAATAATGTAAAACCTTTAAAAACAAACAATGGTTGTAACAATGGTTGAGGACACGGAGTTCAGTTTGTTTCCACGAGGACTGAAGTCGTCTTTCTGTGAGAGCAGGTGAGTTTAGAGCAGGTGAGTTTAGAGCAGGTGAGTTTAGAGCAGGGTGGTCCGAGTGCTCACCAGTTGCATGAACTACGTTTGCAACATGGTCTTTCTGAAAAAGGACGACACAAAGAGCAGAGCATCGATGAATAAAACGCTGTTTGTGAAACCTCGTGCTGAACTTCCAGCCAGTCAGTCTGTAACTGAAGTTTTCAGTGTCATGTCATCATTTGTGTCCCGTTTGAAATATCTCAGCTAATATTGGTTTGTTACGGTTATTTAACCATCTGTAAAGATTTTTCCTCTTGTGCCTCCTCACTCATTTTATTTACATTGGTGAATTTTACAAAAGGCTTTACTCCATGTGGTTGCAGAGGTTAACCTCAACATCAAACCTGCAGTAAATAGTTGGACCTGAGGTCTTAAAGCTGAATCTCTGCTCCCAGGAGTTCTTCTAGCTAAGCACATTTTCTGCTCTCATAACGCTCTGGGGTTCCTGGAGTATCTGCAAAGAGCAGCTTCGACCAGAACTGCTAACAGAAATGTTGTGGAGGGCCACAACACCTAAACCACCAAACCTAATCCTAAACCAAATTTAAACCACCAAACCTAATCCTAAACCAAATCTAAACCACCAAACCTAATCCTAAACCAAATCTAAACCACCAAACCTAATCCTAAACCAAATCTAAACCACCAAACAAAACTGCTTCTCCACCAACTGCAAACTCCAAAGTGGGAAAAAAACAGTTATGTTGGTGATAAAACGGCCTCTGGAACACGTCCTCTCCCTCCTCAACAGTCATTTCAAACTGGTTCAAAACACCAAAGTCCATGTTCAGTAATCCAGGTACATAATCCAACAATATTCATCTAATTTTACTCTAACTCAGTTATTTTACTCTCAGTTAATTTTACACACATTAACCTAGTAATGAGAGACATCCAATAGTACATGAGCTCAGGCTAATGTTATTTATAAAATGTATCTAAAACTACTTCTGTTTCAACATAAAATGCTTTTAATCTAAACTCTAAAATTAAAGATGGTTGTCAGAATGGCGTGCCTGAAGGGATGCTAGTCCTGTTTTGTTTCAAACCGTTCCCACAGCAGAACGCTTCGTGCCGTTTGAAGGATGAAGGTGAGAGACGACAGGACTGCAGGGCCGTGTGAAAGTGTCAAAATGAGCCTGCAGCTGTTTCTATTTTCTGCAAGTGCAGAAATGTGAAAATGATCAATATGTCTTTTTTCCACACACGTAAACAGAAATCACATTTCACAGATTTTTTTGTTCATGTTCATTCTGCAGGAATCGGCACCATCTGGGTTAGCCAACCATAAACACACGAGTACTCACACAAATCACAATTAACGGTTTTGAGCTATTCACAAAAATAAAAGATGCAAACAAACAAGCTATTGTTTTCACACAAGCCGTTAATCCCAGTGTTTCTCATCTGCACACGCTTTAGTTGTGAGGGATGCGCTGAGCTTTGCAGACGTTCAGCTGAGAGAGGAATAATTAGCAGACACGGGTTTTCTTGAAGAGCAGCAGAGATAAAAACCAATAAATCTGCCCGACGGTGTCTCCTCTGCTGCCTGAACGTCTGACACGCCAGGCGTTGTTAGACTTTTATTAAAGCCCAGCGAGTCTGACGTGAAATGGTGCACTTGGATGTTGGTTTAAATAATTCCAAGTTTCACAGCAGAGCTTTGTCATGTAACTGCCCGTACATTTTAAAAGCCATGACCTTTGTCATATTCAACAACTGTCTGCATTTGTGGCCTGTTTTACATTTATTTGAATAAACTTCACCAGAATTCATGTCTAAAATAACTTCTCCAATATTTTAAAAACTAGCTGTAGACACGTAAATTAGAGGCAGAGTTGATTTGTAAAATATGTCGATGCAAATTTTACACGATCGTTTCCAGGACTCTACAAGCCCTCCAGTTTTCTTTCACACTCTCGTCCTCACTTCTGCTGTTTGGCTCATGAGAAACTTTAAACGCTGCCACTTGTGATTTACCAAAGTTTGTGGCTCAGGTGGCAGCACGGTGGCGCAGCTGGTTGAGCTGCTGCCTCTCAGCGAGCAGGTCCCTGGTTCAAACCCCGGTCCAGGGGCCTTTCTGGGTGGAGTTTGCATGTTCTCTCCGTGCATGCGTGGGTTTTCTCTGGGTGCTCCAGTTTCCTCCCACAGACCAAAAACATGCATGTTAGTCTGATTGGTAACTCTAAATTGTCTCTAGGTGTGAGTGAGAGAGTGAATGGTTGTTTGTCTCGTTTGTCTCTATGTGTCCCTGTGATGGACTTGTGACCCGTCCAGGGTGTCCCCCGCCCCTCGCACAGTGATTGCTGGACATGGGCACCGGCGACCCCCGTGACCCAAAATGGAATAAGCGGGTAAAGAAAATGGATGGATGGATGGATGTGGCTCAGGTGCACCGGTGTGTAAACATTTACCGTGTGTAGCACAGAATACTTTGTGAAGTAACACAATAAACACATTTGGATTCTTTTGGCCGTCGTCCTCTGTTTGGTGAAGATACAACTCATCAGCATCCTCCTCCAAACTGGGACGTAGCAAATACACAAATAATAATTAAAGATGGACAAACAAATTGCTATTGTGCAGGAAAATCAAAGGAGACTTATAATGTTTTGTTACTCTTTTTTTCTGAAACTTAAATTTTGCATTGACATGCAAACAAAAAAAAAAACCAGCAACAAAATCACAACTGAGACATTCATAGGCAACAAAACAAGTGATCAACGCCTGGGCTCCTCTTCCAGCTGTTGTTCAGCAGCACCAATAGGCTCCTCCCCCTCCTGTCTCTTTGTGCAGCACACGCCTGGAACTGTGTGCGACACTGCAGTGCTTGTGTTTTGAGCAAATAAAGCATTCGAGGAGTTCATGTTGCACAGTTGACTGAACAACTGGTGCGCTCTGGTCACTTGTCAGGGATTCAAGGCGTAATTGTGGTGTGCACACCGTCATGTCCGCCATATTTCACAGCTGAGTGAGCTGATACTGCAGCACCACTATGGCCACCCCTTCACGCCATTTACATAGCTGCTGCAGACACACACGGTGTAGCTGCTGGGTACACAAAGCAACTTGGAGCAGACGCGACCCGGCGTACTGTTTTTATACTATAAGAGTTTTAGCGTATTCTTAGTTCGTATCTTAGATCTTATTACTGTTTTTCTTTACAATTTACACTTGGTCGGATGTAACTGGGACCCTGTGTACACAGTTTTGTTCCACCACTTGTACCACATGAGATGGCAGTAAAGAA